TCTCCTAGGCCTCCTCCCACTTACCTGACTGCTCCTTCTCAGTCTTCTTGGCTGGGTCTTCCTCTCGCTCATTCCCACAAACCCTGCCTCTTCCCAAGGTTCTCTCCTGGACACTCTCCTTCTTCTCTAGATTCTCTCTCTCTCGGTGAGCTCATTAGCTCCCGTGGATCCAACTCTGACTCATGTAGATGCTTCCTGGGTCTATATCCAGATCTGCTATCTCACCTGGGCTCAACTCCCATCCCCCATTGACTTGGGGACATTTCAGACTGGGTGTCCCACAGGCATCTTAAACTCAACATGTTTGAACCTGAACTTGGTGTCTTCCCACCCCCCAGACTCTCTCCCTCTTCCCAACTTTGCTGTCACTGTTGAGTGTGCCCTGGCTTCCCCGTCATCCAGGGTCACCCAACACTCCTCCCTTCCTCAACTGCACTCCAAATATCCAGTCCATCACACAGCATGTCTTCCCTACTGAGGCAGGCCCTGCTCACCTCTTGCCTGGACTATTGCAATAACCTTCAGTCTCCCCCTCCTCCTGGCCCACCCTGCTGGGTAGAACTCTGCCTCAAAGCTGGGGTGGGTGAAAAGTGGGCGCAGCCGCTACTTCTTTCCCTCCCGTGACATTGATGAATGCGCCCCACTTCCCTGCACATTCCCAGGAGTGATGGCAGCAACAGATAAGGTGGGGGGACAGGGGTACTAGCTGGTACTAGGGGTATTGTCTTACTCGGGACATGTAAGAAAGGTAGCTCTGTGTGTGTGCACACATACACATATGCACTTCTGCCTGGGCCCTGGGTCTGGGGAGGTGTAAAACCTCACTGCGCTCAGCTGTGTATTTTGGGGTTCACATTCAGGCCATGGAATGGCCACAGTGGGCATCCTTGGGAATCAGGCTCCAAGGTGCAGCTGGGCTCTTCAGCCAATGCTGTTGACACACATGCTGTATTCAGAGCACTGTTCAATGAGCCCCTGCCCTCAGGAAGGTTCCTGTCCTCTAGAAGTGGGAGGAGCTCCCAACACAGGTAACTATAATCCACAGCATTCAGCCTGAGTGAATCAGGGAGGGCCTGGCCTGCTGAGAAAAACTCATTCCTGACAGGCAGGATGAGGCTGAGCTTTGGGGAGGAGGGTGCCTCTGAACTGAGCTTTTAAGGCTGGCCATGGGGTCACTTAGAGGAGAGGACAGAGGGCCTGTAGATGCCAAGGCACGAGACGAGGGAGAGGGGAAGGGAGGCCAATGATGTGTGGGCATCTCAGGGCAGCAGCCCTGCTGTGCAAGCTTAGGCAGCCCTGGGAGTGGAGTCTGTGGGGGGGGGGGGGTCTGGGGAGGGGGGGCAGGGGCAGCTCGGGAGGGGGGGGAGGGGCTGGGATGAGAGAGAGCCGCATTCCCCACAAATCCCAACTTCCTGGCTCCTTTGCCTGGCCTCAGGGCCCTGAATCACTATGGTTCAAGTTGGGAAAGGAAAAGGGAGAGGGAGAGGAAAAGAGGCCTCAGCAGGGAGGGGCAGGCAGGAGGCAGCTGAAGTTTGTGCCCCTCACTAAAGCAGGGAGTGTGCCTAGCCCCATTTCCAGGGTCCAGGGAGCAATGCCACGAGCCAATCTCTGAATCCACCCTGGAGCTTGGCTGGGGGTGGGGGGAAGGCTGGGCCCTGCTCCTCCAGAAAGAGGCTTCCTGCCCAGCCTGCCCAGCCTGCCCAGCCTTCCCTCCACAGGGGAGCCTTGGTGCTTCTGAGAGCTGCTTTTCCTTCCCATCACTTTCCTCCCCTGGTGTTCTTGCCCAGCAGTTCCTGACAAGTTGGCCTGGCCACCCCCCCCTTGCTAGGACTCTGGAGAGTTGGTGGGTGGCACTGGGGGGTGGTCAGAGGGGAGGTAGAGGAGAGCTGTTTCTCTGGAGGTTTGGAGGAGGTTCTGAGAACACCCCTTGGGCCCTCTCTAAGCCTGCAGGCAGGCCCCTGGATGGAGCAGGTTCAAGGACTGGGAAGTTCTGGCGGGGAGGCCCAGACTGAGCAAACAGCTGCTGAACAGAGCTGAACTCTCCTCTAGGCCAGCCTGAAGCTTTTGTATGTTCCAGGCACTTCCTGGCCCGACCTCCAGAGCGTGGCCTTTGCCACCCTCCATCCCAGCATGGACTGTACCTGGCAGTCTCTGAGCCCCAACAGGGAGGTAGGGAGGGAGCCCTAGTTGGACGGGAGGCTCCCAGGGGCAGAGACTATTGTTCCTCTCGGAATGGAATAAGTAACGGCATTTGCCTGGGCAAAGGGTAAGAAGGCTGCAAAGACTTGGCCTGGTGTGAGGAGAGGCAACTTGCCAGCCCTGAGGACTTCCGTGGGCCCTGCCAGAGAACAGACAGGCAGCCCCCAGGTCCAGGCTCCAGGTCGAGAAGGAGCTTGCTGCAGCTCCCAGAACCCTGGGTTCATGTGAGCACGGAGCCAGGGGGTCCCTGAGGAGGTCACCCTGCAGCCCCTAGCTGCAATCGCTAGCCGCCAGACATTTGCTGCCTCAATTTTTTCTACAGCCGTATGAGTCTAACCCCAAGCCCAGCCCTTCCCTCTTCTCCGGGGCTTTCTTGTCCCCCTCCCGCTCCGACTTTTCCTGCCCGAGTCCCTCCCTCCGTGTGGCAGAGAACTGAACCCCGCCACAGCCGGGCGGCCTCAAGCCTTCGAGAGCGCCCCGGGGCCGAAGGGCTCCCAGAGTAGGCACCTACAGCCACAGCCACCTGTAGTTCTCCCACGGACCTTCAGGCGGCGGTATTGGCCCGCAAAAAGGCACACGGGGGGCCGAATGAGAAGGGGGACCTGGCCCCAGAGGAGCCCAGGGAAAGGATTCCCGAAAAGTGACGGTTGTCTCCGGCAGGGCCAGGGTACAAGTCCGTGAGGGGACACTGAGGCACAGCGAGCCTGCCCAGGAATCTGGCGCCTCTTTTTCCTTGCCTTTCAGCAGAGTTCCTACCGACCCACTGGAGAGGAGGGCTAGGGTCCGACTCGTCTTCGCCCATCTATAGTGCCTTGCTTGGGGAGTGGGCTGGGGAGACGGAGCGAGTCAGATACACTCCCCGTCGGAGCTGGAAGGCAGCTTAGAGACAATCGTCACATCACACAAGGGGAAACTGAGGCTCAGAGCCCGGGATTTCGAATCACAGCATAACAGACCTGGTTGGGTCTTAGGGACACTCCGGCGCAGGGCTCCCCCCCCCCCCGCCTTTGGAGGCCATGGCTCTTTCGGAAAGTTTGGAGAAGAATGGATAACGGCCCCCTTGTAAATCTAAATTCCCAGTGGAAGGGAAGGGCTGAACTTCTTCAGCTCGTGGGGAGTGAACCTAAAGGTGACATTTCCCTTCATCCAAATTCACGGCCGCCCTGACTTGTATCCAGGGGCTAGTCCAGCCCCGTCCCTTCACAGAGGGGAAACTGAGGCCTGGAACCGGGGAGAGAACGTGGGAGCCCAGGCTGACGTCCTGAATGGGTCCCCAGAAATCATTTCTAGTCTTAACTCCTTCGTTTGACAGTAGAGGAAACTCAGGGCCCGCGAGAGGAACGGGGACTTGCCTAAGGCCACACAACGAGTAGGTGCCTGAACGCTGGGGTCAGTGGAGACGTTCACTGGCTTAGAAATGAGCTGGAAGCCCCATGGGCGCCGTGCCCCCTCCCCTCCCCCACCCCCCACCCCCGGCTCTAAGCCTCAGGAGCAGAGAAGCCAGGGCCCGACGGGAGGGCACAGCCCCCCACCCCCGCGGGGGTCGCCGTACTGGCTGAGAGCGGTGCCCGGAGACGCCCGATGGGCTGGAGCAGTGCCCACGCGGGCATAGGTGCTCTCTCCAACCTGCTGGCACGGGCGGCGACGCGGCGCCCTTAAGAGCCGGCCTCCTTCCCCGCCTCCTCCCCGCTCCAGGGGCGTGGCTCAGGGCGAGGACCCCGGCGCCGAAGCTCGCCATTGGCCAAGAGGGCCGGGGCTGCCCCTGAGTCCGCCTGAGCGGGAGAGTAGCCGGCCGGGCCCGTAGCGAGCGGAGTCTGTGCGCGCTGGGTCGCCGTGGCAGACGCGTGGACCGCTCGCCGCTCGCCGCTCTCCGCTCCGCGCCCCGCGCCCCGCGCCTCACGCCCCGCTCCTCGCCCTGCGCCGCCCCGTCCCGGGCCCTCCCCGCCGCCCCCCGAGCGAGCGAGCGAGCTGATGGG